GTGGTACATATCTTCGGTAATAACCGGCCAATTCAAGAAAGCCACGCAACTCAGTATCACTCTTGGGTTTCTCCCAACTCACTATGGCACTTATCTTCTCTGGGTCAGTAGCAAATCTCCGACACCAGATGTCCAAGATATTTTACTTCTTTCTTTAGTAAATAGCATTTCCTGGGTTTAACTTTAAGACCTTCAGTCCTCAATCTAGAGAACACTACATCCAATCGCTGGACCATCTCATCAAAAGTCTGGGAGAAAACAAGGATATCAAGACATAACAAGAGTGTCTCATAACTCTGGTCTCCTAGACATGCCTCCATAAGCCTCTGGAAACTCGCAACAGCGTTGCACAAGCCAAACGGAAGGCGAGTAAATTCATAATGACCGCCACCACCAACTCTAAAGGCAGTCTTGTGAATGTAATTTTCATCCATTGCGCATTGCAAATAACCTTGTGTTAAGTCAAGTGAGCTATAATATTTTGCTCCCCTCAATGCTTCAAGTGACTCTTCAATGCGAGGAAGGGGGTAAGCATCACGCCTTGTTTTTCTATTCAAAGCACGGTAGTCCACACAAATTCGTAAACCTCCATCCATTTTTTCGAACAAGCACAGCTTGAGAAGCATAGGGGCTGGAACTGGGTCTGATTATACCATGCAATAGCCATTGTTGTAAATGAAGTTTAATTTCTGGTTGTAAGTGTGGGGGAACCCGGCGATATGCATGCTTCACTGAGATATCATCGGTTGTATGTATTTGGTGTTTAACTGTTTGAGTATCCAAGATCATCATCAGTTCTACTGAACACACGTTTATGTTTAATTAGCAAATCAATCAGCTTTCTGTCTTGTGCAACAGTAAGTTCATCATGGGGAATATTTATCTCTTATCCAAGAAAAGTCGTCTTTAGAACCATTTCCATCAGATTGTCACAACCAGTAGTCATTTTAGTTCCCATTACCAATTCAGAAGCACTGACTTGTTGAACTGTGCACATACGGAACTCATGCTTATCCAGTTCAACACAAAACATTGATGCCAAACAAGTATGGGGTTGCAGGATTACATCTTCGTTTCCCAAGTTGGCTAGTAAAACAGGAACACGACCAAAATTAACATCAGAATAGGACCTCAGTAACACCAAGCCTCTTGGTAGGGACCCATCAGTCGCACAAATTCCTTCTACCATTGCGGTGTATGTACCATTTTTAGACAAGTGTCCATTTCCTACCACTCTTAACTGTTCTAGCTGGTATCAGAACTGGTCGTCCTCTAGCCACCTCATAAATCCCACATGACCATTTTCTTCACGTTTGTGTTGACAAGAAATTTCATACAAGTTGACAACATGTGCCAAATTTCTCACCTCGGGCGGTCATGACCATAAGACAAATCAGGACCCAATTTGTTTATGATGCGTCTCAAAACATTGCAACTAATAATACCAGGAACTCTCTTCTTGCGCTCCAAAGTCAATGGGTCTATAGGATCTTTTACCACCAAGATGCCCATATTCTCAAAAGTAGGTCCACATATAACCACATCAACTTCTATGTACCCAACATAAGTTATATCCAGTCCATTTGCAGCAGTAATTCGTAGCCAACCATTTGTAGCCTCAACTTCTGTACCAGAGTTCCTTAAGTTGTTATAAAAAAAAATCTAATTGAAACTTCTGCACCGGTGTCCAACAGACAACGGGCTAAACAGGAATTTAACAATACATCAATCTCAGGACAAGTACCAATGGAGTGCTCTAATACAGCTTGTCTTCGAGTTTTATCTATAGAGCCATCTGAATTTCCTCCCACCAAGTGGCCCACCATAGCAGAGATTCTAGTTTGACGATTGAATTGTGTCTGGTTTCTCCAAAGCTGGACCTTGCACATACTTTTCACGTCTGGGACAGTCGCGGTAAAAGTGTTTAGGGCTTGCACACTTGAAGCAAACCTTTTGCCCTCTAGTATTCACACCATTTTGTGACGTTTCACCTCTGAAGTTAGATGTCTTGTGCGGGGTAGAGACCAATTCCATCAGCCTGTCAATTTGTTGCTGTTGTTTTTCTTAAGTGGCCATCAGTTTCTTTAAATCAGTTGATATCGAGTCACTTACACCAGGAGTGGTGCTGCTAGATCTTGTCTCGCATACCAACAACTTCTTTTTTTACTTGAGTTGCAGAACCTTCACCCAACCAATGGATTGCTTTATCCCGGAATTCCCAGAATGGAAGATCAGGCAACTCATCATTAAGACGCCTAAGCTCACGTCTAAGATATTCATCATGTACACCTAAAAACTTTTCCTTAAGGGT